GGGCATTTGTAACTGTGCTTCAAGATGGAATAGGGGTTCAAACCGACCCTTTCGGTAAAACATCCATCACACACTATATTTCCACGAAATAACAAGCTCGCGCCGTGGCAGATTATTTAGATTTGCGTTTTATTTAAAAGGAATCGGTTAAGTTGAGTTTATACGGCATGTATGAACGGATTCAGAACAAGTGGAGTGGAAGGAGCCGAAAAGAAAACGAAATAAAACCGTATTAGAAATTTAAACAAAAAACTATGGGCAAATAATATAAAAGAGAGGGAACGAACGAGGGAAAAGAGAGAGTACCTTAAAAACGCGCTACAAAAACGTAATAAATTTTACGAAGGAGCAAGAAAACTTAGCGGGACTCGGCGTAAAAGCTGGATAAAGATTCCATCACGAAAGTGGAAAAATGAAAAGAATGGCAGAAGCGAAGCTTGTGCAGGGTACGGTAGCGCATCCACGCTTTAGAAAGCGCGCCGTCCCTTAAAAGCAATTGGAATTGAACTCGAAAAGGGAAATCGAAAAGATCTGCCAATAATTTTTATCCCATAGACTTAATAGAAGATAATTTATTAAGTCCATTGATACAGCAAACTATAAGAATTGTTCAATTTCTCAATTTTCCTGGCCAGCACGCATGCAACTTCTATATCGATTTGTTTCCTAGTCGAATCGTATCGTATGTTATTATCGAGAAAGCAAATCGATGGCTGAAGTAAGACTTATTTTGAACAAAGCTAATGAGTTCATTAGCTTTGTTCAGATTGGACAAAGCTATCATGACTCAATCTGTCTCACTCGCATCATCCACAAATCGGCGATCCTTTGGAATTTAGCAGTAAAGCCTGAATGCATCTGATTTGAAACTTTTCAACAATTACTAAAAGGCTAATTCACAGACAATTTTTAGGGTACTATTTATTTAGATTGTGTGATTTGGGTAAAGCTAAGTCCATGATCCAACAAAGTCTTTGAAATCATTTACACCAACCAATTCATTTATTCTAAAAAAGCAAATTGATCAATTTCCTGAAAATCTTACCTTTCTTTCTCTTCTTTCTCGCTTGCAATCGCCTTGCTTCGTGACACGTGTTCCCAATTTTCGCCTTCTTCACCCCTTTTCTCATGACTCAACCCGACTCACCCACTTTTCTTCTACATGCTAAGTAAATGTTTGACTTCTTGGTTCTGTTTTTTGATTTAGAATAAGTCTAGCCAATAAACTTTTCTCATTTTCCCTAAGTTCACTTCATTCTCACAAAGTTGGGTAGTCAAAAATGGCGATTCCCTAATATCAATTAGGTGCTTTAATCCAAAAAAACCTTATTTTGGTCTCAATAGAAAAAAAGATAGAGCATGAGTACATTCAAATTTTCAGAGCAATCTGTTTAACCAATTTCTTTGTAGAACTTTTAATCTGATTTAATCAAAAACGCATTTTTGTGCTTAAATTCTCTTGGAAATGGGCCCAGATTTGTTGGAAAAGAAAGACAAACAAACAATAAACATTTTCTACTTTACTCAGGATAAAAAGGTGACCGTAATACGGGAGTTACCCTTAAAAACTGGCTCCCAAATACCGTCATCAAAATATAGATATTTATTTAAACCATAAATCAATTGATGAAATAGTCATTTCTAAAGAAAATTATGAAAAAAGTGACAAGACTTATTCACCAACTGAATATAAAGGATAAGCAATTTACGAATTTTCTGTAATATTGCACTTTTAACACATTCTTTCACACATTCTTCCACTCATTCACGGCAAAGCTCGATTTGTTTTTTTCATTCTTTGACCCTTCCGCACTTTTGAGGCTTGTTAATCAAAAAACCATGAATTGTTAAGAAAAGAAATGATAAAGGATCCCGAATTTACTTTAGTATTGCACTTTTTTTACACTTTCCTACACTTTTCACAACCAATTTCACAAATTTCAATCAATACCTTTTCCCCTGGTTCCAAACTTATTCATTCCCAATCAAATGTTTTCAGAGATCGGTTTCCTTTGTCCTTTTTTTACCCTTTTATTAGAGTTTGCTTTAAGAATTCAGATTGCATTGCGTAATAGCCGAAAACTACAACAGACATAATAATTTCGAGAATGGAATCGTTCAAGCAAATCAATTTGGCTTAATTTTCGCAAGTTTTAACACAAAAACCCAGAAAATTCCCTTTAGATACAACCGGATGGAGACTGATTGGAGTTGAGAACTTGAGACAAAAAGGGCGAACTGGCTACAAAGGGATTTGCTCGTATCCACGTTTGGATGGATAAATAGAAACTTGAACTACTCAAAAACTCAGTTCAAATAAATTTCCTCAAACATGTCCATTTTTAAAACTACCGTAATCTTCTTTCTATTTTCAGGCCCGAACCACGAAACGCACGTTAAACTTGGACATACAGGAATCTGCGTGATATGGAAAGGACTCAGAGAATTTTATGGTATTTCAATGTAAGTAATTGGCCATACTTTTGTTTTACCTTCTTTTAGAGAAATAATTGCTCTATTCTTCAATCTCGTCAATTAAATACATCTATATAATTTTGTTGCATCCTGAAAACCCATAAGCTAAGTGTACAGACAGACTTTACCGATCGTAAAGTTCATGGCAAATGCAAGGCCAACCACAGAATGCCTGTGAGAGGTAAATTACAGGCGCTTGAATGAGCGCTAGTCGACAACTCTCCAGCGATGAGCATCTCGATGATTTGTTGAGCCATTTCCTGCAAAAACAATCGTTTTAGTTGATGCTACTATCCACTCAACGAGGTCCATTGTGTATATGCGTTGAAGTTTGACGGAAATTCAATCTCAAATCGAGCATCAGCCGAAATTTAGGCAAAGTTGGTCTTTTGGAGTGGTAATGGCGACAAAACTATGGTTTCAAGTGGACACTTCAACTAATAAACGACGAAACTCGAGCTTCGAGCCTGGAATTTTAAAGTAGCTTCAGCTTGACCTAGCCTACTTAAGCAGCTATTACTCTACCAAGTTTCTTTTTATGTTGCTTTAGCTGAATATCCTTTTAATTAGAGAGTGCACTCGCAACCATTCAAAGTACGCCACTTTGCTAGAATGACAAATTAATTTATTTAAACACTGCAAAAGTTATAAAAATTTTTCCCATAGCATTTTCAGGTCAACAACTGATAAAAGACTTCACTTTTCCTTTCAACTAGATTTTCTTTTTGTAAACATTAAGACTAACAATAAGATGAAGCTATTTTTTAGATTCTATTACATTTTCATTCTATCAGGTAATGATCATCAAGAATCTATTGTAATCTTTTACAGGTCCATCCTTTGGTTTATGTCCACAAAATGCTGTCACCGGCTTCAATAACAAGATTTGCTATTTTGCAGTAGACGTCAACAAGTCTTTTACCGAAGCAAACGCGTTTTGTTCGACCAAGTAATTTGTCTATCTAAAATTAACAACCTGATATGTTGAGTTTTTATGGAAATCTTGCCACAATCACTACATCATCTGATGATAAAAATGTGCTTGTCTTAGCGAAAACGTTACTTAAAGTAAAGATGTTAAACGGGATTTCTTTTGAGATGAGTTTTAGATTGACAGCAGTGCTTGGCTTGGCGGAACATTCGATGGAAAAGAGATTGTTTGGCTAGATGGATCTCGTGACGAGTATCGAAATTTCGAATCAAGTACTGAAAATCCGTGATTTGTGTCCAACAACGAGACAATGTTTTCAGACATTTCACCTGGCAACGTTATTCTCAATTTGAAAAGCGCGAAATGGTCAACTCCTGCTTCGAATGCTCAATTGGCTTTTATATGTCAAATGGAAGATGTTTATTGTACATTTTTGAGTTGATAAATTTTAAAAAATCAGAGTACAACGAGTACACCAAACCCAACCGAGGCTTGTCCACTCTATGCACCATGTCCGACCGATTGGGTCTACTTGCAGTCATTCATGACTTGTTATAAGGTAAAGGTCAAGATATTAGACCATTAATGGACCATTAATACTCCATAAAATCTATCCCAGTGATGCAAGAAGCCAAAAGAGTTTAAAATTGATATATTTCAACTAGTGAATTAAATGAACAGTTCATCTTTTAGACAATTCATGATGTAAATTTTGTTGACGCTGACACACAGTGCCGTCTAATGAGCTCCACACTGGCATCGATTCACTCAGAGGCTAAGAATCGTTTTGTAAATGGTAGCTACAATGATTCTAGTGTTGAGATAACATAGCAATTGAGTAGTGAAACGCTGGATTTTTGTCCTAATGAGTATATGATTGTTTCTTAAGAAACCAGCCACAAAAAAGTTTAACGTCACAAATAAAAATCGACTTTAGACTGGTCCAAATGCTGAGGATTGGGTGTGGTTAGATGGAACGCCGATGAACTACGCGAATTGGTCAACAAACCAGTCAGATAATGCAAATCATAACGAGTACCGTATGCAGGTAGAGTCTTGATTTCATAAAGAACACCTGGATACACTGACAATACTTTTTAGATTTGGTCCGACTCAAACTCTCTAGATAATGTGCCTAGACAGAAATGGTTTATGAACCTAATAAGTAGACATCCTGGGGAACAATCATGTTAATCATGGAAATTTGTTTCTCTAGGTCAATCCTGTCTTTTACAAGACACGAAAGTAGACGCGTAGGTAATACCTTCTCGAGCCGCTCCTTTCTCGTTCTTTACGCCCAAAATCTGGCTCAAGTTCAAGCTTTCACTAACTTTCCAACAACTGTTAGAATCTTTAATTATCTAGCAAATTTTGCAAATGTATTTAACTAAGTGAGCATGGGAATAAGTTCGAATTTTCAAGTCAAGTCGGAACATAAGTCATTGTTTTAAAACGGAAAAGCCATCTTTTTAGTCAATAAATGGATTTTCACCCTACTTTTAGGCACTAAAAAGGTTTTTGTTATAGATAAACATAAATTTATTAACAACAAGTTACATAAAGAAACTAATATCCGTAACTCCAAGAAATCTTATGAAGTTTCTTTTGCCTCATCGAATCTGCTGAGCAGCTTCTAAACTTTGAGAATAATAAATGCCCTATTTGAACATTAAACCTCAATCCCAGTGTTACATGATCGCAAATCGCCCAAATATTTCTCACAAATCCCCTCCAATTTCGCACCAATAGCCCTGAAAGTTGTTTTTTCTTTCAAAACTCTTTAAACTTACAAACAATCCCGTAGTTCGTCCTTTGCTGGATCATAACTTAACCCCTCAATTTTGCCGACTTTTTCAAGAGCTTTCTGAAGAATCTCTGGTATTTATCACAAAAATTTGAAAACCTTACCGCTTGAAAATTGTGGATTTTTTCAATCAAATCCGCTTGAAGTTCGGGAAAACAGACATCATAAGCTTTAATTTGCGGGGTGATCGCTTCATAAGTTGCATTCATCCATTTCTTCACCTGAAAATGGAATGTTCTTCTGGTTATTTGTAGATTCTTTTTTTCTACCTCTACAACTCCCAAATCGACAATTTTATGCGAATGATGCTTTCTCATTCCACATAAAGCACAGAACTAAACCTTGATTTATACTTTCATTTTTCACATCATGAGTGTAGCTTTTCAAATTCTCTAACATCACTGAATGTGCTAACTAAAATATGCACAATCCAAAAATAAAGTTCTATTTTCAAAAATTTTTTCTTAACGAACCATTACTTTTCCACAATCGTTACATTGAAACATTTCAAACAAAGGCGCCTAAATAAATCTTGACAACATTAAATCTAGAGGAAAACCTCTTTCTCGCAATCACCACATGTTCTTTTCAATTCAGTTTGTTTCTCCGACAGTTCTCGCAAAAAGACTGAATGATTTTCACAATTCAAGGATGATAGAAAAGAAACCAACTTTTCAATGGATTCTCCCATGATTCTTGAGCATAAGCAGTGCGCCGTTTGCATTGTGGACATTCGAGATTATATTTCAAGCTGGTATGGGTTATTGGTTTTGACATTTTAGCAAAACACTCATTACACATCCCGTGGCCACAGTAGAGGATGAATGGTTCTCTTTGTGAGTTTTCGATTGAGTCTAATGTTTCATCATTTTCTAAGTGTACAATGAAATCACCCACATTCTTCATTACAAATCGGACACTCAGGAATTGTGATTGATTGAGTTGTTTGAACGTATCCCATCAAATTTTGATTCAACGTAAAGCACCCACTTGAGAGCAATTCTAAAGCAATCTGATTGTGTTCGTTTTTCAAAGAGAATTTTCTTTGATAACTTTCAAGTTTACTCACCCATAAAGCAATATGAAGGACACGGCGTGTACTCGAAACAATATGGATCTTTGCATTGATGTGCTCGAAGCGCTGGGGCTCTTGCTCGTTGCTCTTCATGACATTTCATGCACATTGCTTGAATATCGACACACCAAGTTTGTGTCGGTGTATTTACTTCATTTGCCGTTTTTGAGTCTGAAATACAATTCTGTACATTTTTGTTACAATAAGTTAATAAAAAAATAATGAGCTTTGAATTCAAAGCAAAACTTACACGGCGTCGAACAGAGTGCACAATTGAGCGATTTGAAGACGAATTTGAAAGCCAAAACGTCATGCTTGTGTAGGTCGATGATCGCATCTCGGTACACTGACTTCTTGGCCATTCTAAAGTGAGACATTTTTTTTGAGATATTAAGCCTTTTAAAAGAAAGAAAAAACTTTACTATGTGTAATGGATGTTTTACCCAAAGGGCCGGTTTGAACTTGGATTCCAGCTTCAATCGGACTGAAAATGAAAATGAATCGGAATGAATCATTCTGATTCATTTCATTTTCATTCCGATTTTCACAGGATCTCTTGGAATAACTACTACTGGCAGATTATTTAGATTTGCGTTTTAGTTAAAAGGAATCGGTAAGTTGAGTTTATACGGCATGTGTGAACGGATTCAGAACAAGTGGAGTGGAAGGAGCCGAAAAGAAAACGAAATAAAATCGTATTAGAAATTTATACAACAAAATATGGGCAAATAATATAAAAGAGAGGGAACGAACGAGGGAAAAGAGAGAGTACTTTAAAAACGCGCTACAAAAACGTAATAAATTTTACGAAGGGGCAAGAAAACTTAGCGGGACTCGGCGTAAAAGCTGGATAAAGATTCCATCTTGAAATGAAAAGAATGGCAAAAGCGAATTTTTGTGCGGGGTACGGTGGCGCATCCACGCTCTAGAAAGCGTGCCGTCTCTTACAAGTAGAGTTCGGCAAAGAAAACTAAAACAGACCAAAACCAAAACCAAAACCAAAACCAAAACCAAAACCAAAACCAAAACCAAAACAAAACCAAAACTCAATTTGCATATAAATTAACATGTAAATTTTGTAAAATGCAAATTTTAATGTTTAATTTTAAATTGTAAAATGCAAATTTACCTTTCACTTTTTCTCACTCCCCAAAATTTCGCGGCCGATAAAAGGACCAAAACACGACCTCGAAATTTCGAAACAAAAAATAGCCTATGGGATAGATTTTTGGACGCTGATTTCAAATCTGCAATCAGATTTTCGCTAGCTCCTCCCAATCGCGAGATATTGGCGAGTTTTGGTTAGTTTTGGTTTTGGTTTTGGTTTTGGTTTTGGTTTTGGTTTGTTTTGGTTTTGGTTTTGGTCTGTTTTGGTTTTGGTGGTTTTGGTTTTGGTTAAGTTTTGTTTTCCGAAGTCTACTTACAAGCAATTGGAATTTAACTCTCATGAGATTAGAGAAATCGAAAAGATCTGCCAATAATTGTTATCCCATAGACTTAATAGAAGATAATTAATTAAGTCCAGTGATACAGCAAATTGCAAAAATTGTTCTGCAGGATCTCTGACCTTTGATTATCATTTGTACAGAGAGTATACCAGGGCAAAATTGAAGCGCTGAACATTGAACACTTGCAACAAGCAAAATAAAAAGAAATTAATTGTCGGAAAAGAATTTTTCAAAAGTTATGTCTAGTTAGTCAAACTTCTGAAACGGAATTGAAGCTAGGATTTGATCTTTATCGTTTCATTGATCTATTGTGGTTGTAAAAATGCTTTTAACTTCTGAAACTGAACCAGTTAAACGATTTTGACTACCAAAGTCATTAGATAGACCAAAAATGATTCTTAAAGGAATATGATCCAAACTTCCAGACAACGATCCCACTTCTCTCAGTCGCCGGTCCTCTTATTTTCTTCCTTTACCTTGTTTTCACGTCCACGATTGTCCCACAAACAATTGCCAATTTCTCAATTTTCCTAGCCAGCACTCATGCAACTTCTATATCGATTTGTTTCCTAGTCGAATCGTAACGAAGGTTATTATCGAGAAAGCAAATCGATGGCTGAAGTAAGACTTATTTTGAACAAAGCTAATGAGTTCATTAGCTTTGTTCGGATTGGACAAACTTCTCCCTTCTCAAAACACTATCATGACTCAATCTGTCTCATAAACATCATCGGCAATTCGGCGATCTGTTGGAATTTAACAGTAAAGCCTGAATGCATCTGATTTGAAACTTTTCAACAATTACTGCTAATTCACAGACAATTTTTAGGGTACTATTTATTTAGATTGTGTGATTTGGGTAAAGCTAAGTCCATGATCCAACAAAGTCTTTGAAATCATTTACATCAACCAATCCATTTATTCGAAAGAAGTAAATTGATCAATTTCCGGAAAAAGGTGCTTTAGTCCAAAAAAACCCCCTATTTTGGTGTCAACAGAAAAAAAAGATAAAGCATGAATAGTTAAACATATATTCAAATTTTTAGAGCAATCTGTTTCACCAATTTCTTTGTAGAACCTTTAATCAGATTTAATCAAAAACGGATTTTTGTGCTTAAATTCTTTTGGAAACGGGCCCAGATTTGTTGAAAAAGAAAGAAAAACAAACGCTAGAATTGAGTCAGTCCAAAGCGAAAAAAAAGCGAACGGTCAAGTTTCACTTGTTTGAATTGTCAACTGGAGTGTTAAACAGTGTTCGCAGATAGAGTTTTTGAAAACAAGTTCAAGTGGTCAAAGGTGACTTTCCTGGTTCCAAAAATGTTTTTAATTTCGTAAACTTTTGTTATTTTTATGGAAAAATTCAGCTCTCAAAATTACTAGAAATTGCTAGAAATTTTTCGTCAAAAAGATGAAAGTACTTCTCATTTTCCTATGTTTATCAATCAAAATTGATTTGGTGAACCCAGCAAATCAAGAAGTAGGTGTGTTTACAAGAAATTTCCTTTCAAAGCTCAATCTTTAGCAGCTCAATGATCCAAAATTTCAGAATTTATTAAATTCTACCTGTCCTAGAGGTCAATCCTTTGGAAACTATTGCCTAACGGTAACTTTACCCGATTTTTGTTAACAAAACAGTGTTAGTTAGAAGAGTTATATTTTGATGTTGGCGAAGATCCCATTTATCGTTGTAATTCTACAACTCTGGTGCATGTAACTGATGCAAAGAACAATAAACTTGTTCAAGGTTTGCAGAAGTTTACATCAATTTGCATTGATTATTCTCTAAGACTTTCTAACCAAAACATATAGCGACTTGGGAATGCCAAAAGAAAATTCGGAGAAAGCGATGACTTGTGGGAAGAGTTGGGTGAGTTTGCAGTAAAATTCGTTTCTTGTTCCTATCGACTACAATTTACATTTGTCTTCTTGTCTTTCATTGCTTGGTACTTGTGACTATATCCGGCACTTTTGATGAATTGATCACTTTAATCAATGAAGATCACTTTTAATCATCACTGTCAAAAAAAAATCACAAGTTGCTTTCAAAAGATGGTTTCAAAGTCTGGTTTCAAAGTCTGGTTTCAAAGTCTGGTTTAGTTGTTTTTCCAATGGAAGGTTTAAATCTTTTTGAACTTTTTGAAGAGCTTTATTGGAAAGATCAGTCTCGAGAAATCAAATTTGTTGAATCTTCATTTAAAACTATCCAAACTCTGACAAAATGATTCCAAATTTTCCAGGTTGTGTACGTGAGTCGTCCCGGTAAGAATCATACCATTAAAGTGCATTGGAAAATGCTGAATCAGCAGTGTTCCTCAACCGAAATTTACAACACATATTAGGTTTGCAAGTTATAAACGATCGTTTTTTGGTAATGTGTTTTCTGAAAAAACGGCTTATCCAATCAAAAAACGGTTTGCTTGATTCAAAAGCCCTACCCTTAATCTACAAAATGGCTTTTTTGAATTTTTGAAAAATGTTTTATTTTAGAACTTTTTCAGGCATTTTAATGTAAGAGTTCAAAATCCTGGTTTCTAGCATTCATGAGCTAATATATTTTTGAGTGATTGCATACTTTTTAAAATCAAACGCTTCATCGATTACATAGTTTCCCAAAATTTCAGAACAATCCAATCTTCGGAAGGTTGATTTTCAAATTAGGCTCAAAGTGCACTTTTGTGCTAATTTAATCCATTTTCGTTTGAATTTAAGCAAGATTAAAAAAAAGATTAAAAGAAAGAGAACGGTTCGATCGATTGGATTGTTCTGAAATTTTGGGAAACTATGTAATCGATGAAGCGTTTGATTTTAAAAAGTATGCAATCACTCAAAAATATATTAGCTCATGAATGCTAGAAACCAGGATTTTGAACTCTTACATTAAAATGCCTGAAAAAGTTCTAAAATAAAACATTTTTCAAAAATTCAAAAAAGCCATTTTGTAGATTAAGGATAGGGCTTTTGAATCAAGCAAACCGTTTTTTGATTGGATAAGCCGTTTTTTCAGAAAACACATTACCCAAAAACGATCATTTATAACTTGCCAACCTAATATAATGATTTCGAGAATGGAACTGTTCCAGCAAATCAATTCGGCTTAATTTTCGCAAGTTTTAACACAAAAATCCAGAAAATTCTCTTTAGATACAACCGGATGGAGACTGGATTGGAGTTGAGACAAAAAGGGCGAACTGACTACAAAGAGATTTGCTCGTATCCACGTTTGAATGGATAAATAGAAACTTGAAATATTCAAAAACTCAGTTCTAATAAATTTCCTCAAACATGTCCATTTTTTAAACTACTGTAATCTTCTTTCTATATTCAGGCCGGAAACAACCCAGTTACCCTAGCCTACGAGAGCCTAAACAGTGGCCGAGCTATCGTAAACTGTATAAAAATTGTGCTAAGCTATCGTAATTTTTAACAGCTGCTATGCTATTTCAAACACTTTGTTCATGGTCTTGAAATTTGCTTTTACAATCGACTTGTTTTGTAAATTTTATAAAAGTTTTTAGGTGCTCTAATAAAGTTTTGAAAATGTTATTAGATAAACAAAGAAAAATTAACTCATCATTTCAAAGCCAAAAATGAAAAGCGACCATTTGATCAGCTTTGAATTGAAAAGTGAGCAATCTTTAGAGTGAATAGAGTTTGATTGCATTATGAAGTGAATAAAGTGAAAAAAAAAACATTTCTTTTCAGCAAAAATGGAATTGTTTTTCAATGTGATTTTGAGCAATTCTATTCAAAAATTGTAGATAAAAGAAAACTTTGTGTTTTGCTTTATATAAACTCTGTGCACAATATGCGCACCAATAGGGTGAGATACGGTTATCCATCACCAAGTTCAGCATTCAAGTCTAAATATAAGTCTTTTTAGGGTGATTCTGGTGGTCCAAGTATGGCCAAAGTAA